TTTTTTTTTTTTTTTTTTTTTTTTTTGAATTTTTTTTGAATTTTTCGTCTTTATTATGGAATTATTCGTGGACCCTTATTCGGATCAGAAAGCCTGTGGAAGTGATTTGATGTATTTGATGCCACTGCCATATCCCACAGATATCCATAGCTCAATGCCAAAGGGAAAAACAGCTTTTATGAGCTAACCAAAACATTAATGCTGCTATCCAAACCAGGTGGTTGTAGACTAAAGTGGATACCCGTTCTCAAATGGCTCGTTTGATAACAATTTCGTTTATATGGAAGTATGATTTTCAAAACCCAGATGATTATTGATGGAGAACTGGCTAAGATTATAACGTTGAGTCGAGTCGAAACAAGGTGGACCTATATGCTATCAATTATGTTCATACAGGGGAAAGAGTGGATATCTACATAGATGGGGATGCTATCAATTATGTGAGTGCTCCATGAATATGATAATAGTTCTTGAGAAAAGTTCATATGGGAATGAGTGAGGAGATCTTAATGTACTAAAAGAATTGCATTGACAACATAAAGTTGAAGCATTTGAAGCATTTATCCTCAAGCAAGCACTCAGCCATGGAAGAAAGGCTGCAAACAACAAATTCTCCCATTTTCAAAGTTCCAAATCACAGAACATGAAGCAGAGAGAGAGAGAGAGAGAGAGGGAAAATTAAGAGCAGAAAACAAAAAACCCATCTGGGTACCAGATAGAATTCTCAACAGACTACAAATTCTTCATCTTTTTTGCATTTTCTTTTGTTTTTTCTTCCAGTTCTTGCTAAAAACTCTGTTCTAAGCTCTAAAGACCTTAACAATGGCGGAAAGAAAAGAACAAAACGGTGATGATGAACATCTCGGCCGTTAAGTATCACTCTAAGAAACCAGTCTTCGTTAAAATGGCGTTTCGCACTTTGCTTAAATCCCTTCCTTTGAGAGTTCTACCAACCCCTTCACAAACAGAGAAAGACGAAATTCGGCTTCTCGCCAGTTTCTGAGCAATCCATTCATGAGGAGGCACCATGTCGTCTTCTTCACCGGCGATGTCTTCTTGATCTCTGTCGTCAGGTTTCTGGCCTGAAAGCTCGCCGTCCGACGAGCCCATCTTGCCGTAAATTTTAGCCCAATCGGGAATGTCCACCGGAGCAGAGGATCGATTAGTCCTCATCTGGGTTTCGTGTGTTCTTGTTGCAATGGATTTCGGGATCATTTTCGGTGCAGTTGGAAGACGATAATCAGTAGACTTTCTCGTTACAAAACTTGAAGAATCTTCTTTACCTTCAACGGATTTCCACACATCTTCTTCTTCCAAATCTTCACTGAAGCCATAGCTTTTTCTCAGAGCGCCGTTCCAATTCGCCATCGGAACCTATTTTATGACAAAATAGAAATAAAAAAGGTGGAATAATTCAAACCCAATATGTAAACAGTTCTAGTGATTAGTCATCTCGGGAATCGAAAAAGAAATAAATGAATAAAGATTCTAGAATTCTACCCAGGCTTTTGCCGCAGTGGTCAGCTGGAAAAAGCAGAGCTTTTTCAAGAGTTCCTGAAATGGGTTTTGCTCATAATCCCAAAAGACATGAGGCAAATGGGAGAGAAGCTGTAAAGAAAGTAGATGGTAAAATTGGTTGGTCTGAAAATCTCCAAGGAAGAACACAAAAACAGAGAGAAACAGAGAGAAACGGAGATGGGTTTTCCTTAAAACTCAATGGCTGATTAAGAACGGGGAAGAGATTTAAGGAAGAGAGAAAGCAAAAGAAAGCGATGGGGGATGATAAAGAATCTCAGTTTCGGAATATCACACATTCTTAGCTTACCTGTTGATCGGTGTTTTGTTGATAATTTGGGATTGAAGTTTATAAATATGAAAGGACAGAGGAAAGTGGTGGCAATGGCATAAGAAAGAGGTAAACGACAAGAAGCCCTTGTGTTTGTGTGTGTGTGTTTTTAACCCAAAAAAACTCGAAAATTTTACTCAAAAGAAAAGCCATTATAACCCCATCTGAGGAAACAGAGTTAATGATGACAGAACAAATCATGAAAACAGAGCATTTCATGCTCGCTCTCTTTCTCTCTCTAGTTCATCAAATTCAGCTGAAAAACTCTTAGTTTTTGTCATAATCTTTAACTTTTTCAGCTAAATGTTGTTAGTAGACGCAGAATTAGCGTTTTAAACTGAATCAAACAGATAATAAAAGCCATGGGAGGAGCGAGAGAAACAGAGAAACAGAGAGCGATGGGTGTGATTTGGACAGAAAGCTCAGTGATTTATGATATCTGCTGTAACCTTATCCTCTAACATACAGCAACAGAAACTGCTCGATTTGCTCTTCAATGGGTTTTCTTTTCTTTTTTTTTTTTTTTATTTTTACAGAGAGAAAGAAGATTAGTTTACAGAGAGAGGGAGGTGGGTGGCTGTCTGTGAAGCTACTTTCTTTGTTTCTTCTTGGGAGGGGCAGGGGCGGGGCAGGGGCAGGGGCAGGGGCAGGGGGCAGCTACTTGAAGACAACATAGTACTTTTGTCTGCAGAGATTTCATTGAAATGTGCTGTAAATTTTTATGGGATCAATTATTCTGCAATTACTCTTCTTCGTCCATCCAACTTTGTTGCTGAAATCTACAACATCGTCCTTCCATGTTCGCTATGTTGTGTGCAAATTTTGTGTTTTCACTTTTTAACCTTAAATTACTTCTTTACTCACTCCACGTTTAAATTTATATCTAAAAACTATCTGAATTTTATAAATATTATGATAGATTTATACTCCGTTAATTATAGGTGTATTTGATCCTAAACTTTAGAAAATGACTAATAAATTCACTGTCTTTTAATCTTGTATCTGATAGATCTATTTGTGTTTTTTTATAAGAAAAAAATAATGGGTCTTTTAAAACTTTTTATTTTGTGTATGATAAGTTCCCGAATTTTAAAAAATATAGAATTTAAAATAGTCTAAGCTCACTGCTACAGATATTATACTCATGGAGCTTTTCATTTCGGGTTTCTCTTCAAGTTTTTAAAACAAGTCTATTAAAAAAAAGTTTCTACCTCTTTACAAGAAATGTTTAATGTTTAGTTTTTCTCTTCGACCCACGTAGGATCTCATTAACAATATGTTGATTAACAGGTAAAGTAAGTCAAAAGAAATAAAAACGTATATTATCAAATTGTATTTCTTTTTTTTTTTTTTCAAATAGACGAGGACTTTTTTTCGCGTCAATCATTAACTTGTTAAATGTAAAATTTGAATAATACGTCAATTTCATTACTCATGCATGTTACTTTTTAAAAAGTTTTCAAAGTAAAAACTTTGAAACTTTTTAAATCTTTATTTAAAGAAATCATCTAATTAGAATTGTGAGAAGATTAAAACTTTAAATTATAGTTAATAAACAAGGCATGAACGTTAAAGATGCATTTAAATTATTTTAAAATAGAAAGTTGAGGGTCAACTTGTAATTTAATACATTAATTAAAAAAGATTATAGTTATCATTATATTCCATCTAATCTCTCCACTACTTACCAAACAATAAAAANTTTGTTTTTTTTTTTTTTTTTTTTTTTTTTTTTTTTTTTTCCTTTAAAAAGTTTATCAAAGCATCCAAATTGATTGGCTGATGAAGTAAAAAGAGGGCAAATGCATTGGCTTTTTGTTCTTTGTAGGAGTGAGGATAAGAGAAGAGGTTGAAAAGGAAATCTCCCAAACGGGAAACCCACCGCTGGGGTTATGGCAAATTGCAAGTTGAAGCCACAATGTGCTAACCTTTTCGCCCACCAATCAAACCTTTCGTGGATTTTCGGTCCCTGATTTCACGCAAAATAGAGACTAAATCATTATAAACGGTAAAATATAAGGATTAAATTGTTACTTATCAGTCTGTATTGGTATGAGACTTTTTGGGGAGACAAAAAGTAGTCACGAGAGTTTATGTTCAAAATAGACAATATCATAACATTGTGGAGAATTATGATTTCTAACACGATATAGGTTAATTAAATTTGCATATTATTCAAAATATGGCCTTATCTAAAGTCAATAATTGGATGTTGTAGGTACAATAAGCATGACTAATTAGAGCTAGGGAGCTAGGACTGCCCAAAAGAGCAACTATAATCAATGTCTCTCCCTCGACAAAAGGAAAAATGAAGACTCGTTTCCATCACCCACTAGTCCCTGCAAATCTAGATGTAATTTACGTCCTGTTTGATAATCATTTAGTTTCTTGTCTTTAAAAATGAAGCTTACAATCTAATTTATCTAAAATTACTNTTATATCACTTTTTTTTTTTTTTTTTTTTTGTTAATGATCTTGATAGATCATTTTGTTTTCATACAAAGATTAAGGCAGCCACATCAAGACCAAATGGTATTAATTTACTAATCTTTATCCTATCTCCTATTCAAACTATAAAAGGATTTCAACCCAAAAAATGGCCTTGCTTAAAATTTTAGATGATCTAAGATCACCAAATCCCACTTCCCTTGTTACTTTTTTCACCCAAAATCTTTTGAACTATTCTCATCTTTGAGATAAAGAGCATTAAATGGGGCATAGATATCAAAACCAATTGCTATCTTCCAAAAAGCTTTGGTTTATGACAGTTGACAACCCCACAGGCAGTATTAAAACTATCATTTCTACCACCATCTACCACCTGAATGGCTGTCCTAGCAGAAGCAACTTCAACCATCAAAACTATAATAATAAATACCAAAAAAATAATGAACAATTTCAGTGGTGAATAAGTGACTCTGCATAAACCACTTAATCCTATTATTAGATTCCATTTCTTTCNTTCTTTTTTTTTTTTTTTTTTTTTTTTTTTTTTTTTTTTTTTTTTTTTTTTTTTGAGGACATCAGAACATATTGCTGCTCACTAAAGCGATGGCATTTATGTCAAAGCTGAAATATGTTCTCAATGTACAGAAAAAATGAGTCCTTGGTCTAATAATAAAGGCAGTCAAGTCACTACGTGATAAAGAGGTATCTTTTAAATACGAGGGATGAAAGCCAGAATTATAACTAAACCTGTACATTACGTTGAGTTTGAGGCAGATTGGCCCTGACATTGCTCCCTTCTTCAATTGTTCATCTGGTTTTTCATTTTCGTGCTGCATGATAAAGCTCCAAGTAGTCGAGAGCAGGCCGATTCCAAGACCAGTCTTGCTCCATCACTCTCTTGCACAATGAATGGAACCAACTTCGATCGTTATACCATGCAGAGATTGCTCTGAAATGAAAAACGAAATTTCTTGAATAGAAATTACTGTAACATGTATATGATCATTTAAATGGGAGGAGAATGATGGTGGTGGTACCCATCGCTCTCAACCTTTGTCCCATGTTCGTCTAACCAGATAAACAAAACGAAGAGAACTTATAGTAATCAATCATCAGCAAGTAAAGTAGTAGAGTTTGTCACTTTTGTTCACTTTGTCTTGGGATACCCGGGCAGCCGGTATGAAGAAAACATATGAACGGAAGAAAACTTGTAATGAATAATAAAACTTGCTCATCAGATTATGCGTGTTAACTTACCTATTAAGAGCATAATCAACACCAGATGGATCTGCTCCTTCAAAATTGAATCCATTTGGTTCAAGGCCTGCTGCTTGTGCTCTTTCTTTATCATGATCGACATCAAACACTGTGTCATGAAGTCCTACAAATAATAATAGAGACTTAAGCGTATAATTAGTTGCGTTGTTGAAACGAAAAATGCCTTTTTTATTTTTTTACTAAGTTTCAAAAATGGTAATGGTTTTACATTTTCAGCTTTTACATTCTTTACCAAATCCTGTCTTCTTTGGACTTTTCCTTTCGAGCTTCCCCTCAAGGTTTTTAAAACGGGTCTGTTAGGGAGAGGTTTCCACACCTTTATAAAGAATGTTTCGTTCTCCTCCCCAACAAATGTGAGATCTCACACTTTATGACCCATTCCTATCACTGGCATTTTATTTGAGCTATGTTCATAATTTTTTAAAAGAAAGGAAAATTTTCCACTATAATATAATAAAAAAGCACACCACCCCGAAGGCCCAAACTCTAACACATCAAGACTTTTTTTTATTTTTTTTCTCCTGCATTAAGCTTCAACTAAAGATTCGAACATGCTACCTCTAGAAAGGTGTTAATGAAAGATCACAGATATGAGCTAATCAGGCCACCCCTTGGGGTCTCATTATAATATATATGGTTTTCTTTCCATTATTGCATAACAACTTTAAATGCAGATGTTGCAAATTTAAGTTAAAGAGAAACTATTAGTCCTAGAAACCCTATCAGCAAGAAATAGGTAGCTAAAAAGGGAATATGTCACTCTTTACGAGACAAAAATGTTGCCCAAACCTCCAGTTTTTCGAACAACAGGAACGGAACCATATCTCATTGCAGTGAGCTGAGTTAGACCACATGGCTCAAAAATTGAAGGGACCAGTATCATATCTGCACCAGCATAAATCTGCAATTATTGAATAGATGGGTTAATAACTAAATCGGAACAACTACTGAATTGAGTTCTGCATCAACATACCAAGTGCGAAAGAGGCTCATCATAAGTCAAATAAAGGCAAGCTCGGTCTGCATAAGATGAGTGCAACTGATTCGCTAAATTCACAAAATCATTTTGAATGCGTGGATCAGGAGCTGAACCAAGCAACACGACCTGCAATACCACAACTCATTAGCAACAACATCTAGGACCTAATCCTAATTTAATTACATTTCTTAGTAAAGCAGGCTTGACATTAGAACAAAAACCAAATATTAGCTGTAAGACTAAAAAGGAACCATACTGTAGTTTCAAGAAAAAACAAGGAAGCAACATGAGAAGATAAACCTGTCCACCCCGATCTAGAGCTCGCCAGATAGCATGCTTGATCAGATGAATACCCTTTTGATGAGTTAGGCGAGTGATAATTCCTACTAAAGGAAGATCGGACCTACTTAGGCCAAGTCTCTGTTGTAATGCTTCCTTAGCAGCCCTTTTTCCCTCAACAACATTCTCGGAAGTGTAAGATACCTGGAAAGTTCATATAAATCGACATCAGAATAAACTTCATAAATAATACAGTTCCAAAGTAAAAGGCAGTTAAATCAGGTTAATAACAGATTATTTCAAAAGCCATAATTCCAGTACTAAATTTCTCTTTGAGAAAAAACAGCAAAATAAGAGGTAAACACATAAACTTCAATCAATGGGTAAAAAGTGAAAATCTATCCATATAAGAGAAT